CGGGACAAAACCGGGACAAAACCGGGACAAAACCGGGACAAAACGGGACAAAACCGGGACAAAACCGGGACAAAACCGGGATAAAACCGGGACAACCTTCCCGTTCCCTGCCGGGCCAGGAGCTCCCGGCCCGCCAGGGCTCCGTTCCAGCGGGGCCGGGCTGGGGCTGGAAGGGATGGGGGGCTGGAGGGGGGATGGGGGGGCTATAGGGGATGGGGGGTTATAGGGGATATGGGGGGGTTATAGGGGATATGGGGGGTATGAAAAACGCCAATCACTTGTTTTTAGAAATTTTAAAAGTTTAATAATAATAGAATGGTTATAAAAATAGTAATACAATTAGAGTAAAAAAAAAGTAGAGTTAGGACAATTACAAGACCATAAAAAGCAAAGAATTACGGATGTTTTTGGGCACTGAGCTGCCAAAGCCACGCCTTGGGAACAAGGGAATAACCCTAAAAGCAGCAGCCTGTTGCATATTCATCTATCTCATACATGGTGCATAAATTCCTTGCCAATTAGGAACTTTTCTGGTTTTTGTCAACTTCTACCCCTGAATCCTGGTGGCTCCACGAAGACGAGAGGAGGTGGAAGAATGTTTGTGTTTTCTGATAAGGAGGCTGGAGCTCTTCATGTGCCCCTTGTGCCCGTCGCTGTTATCTCTGTCTGGAGAACTTCTTGATTTTCTCATCTCCTCCTTGAGCTTGTTAAGAAGTATCTCACACCGCAGAGTTTCTATTTCGACATTGTGTTAGAGCCTAAAATTACATTTAACACACCACTTAAGAGGATTGATACAGCAAAACCTTCGTAACATCACACATACAGCATTCATTGGAATGTTTGTGAAAAGCCAACCATAAAATCTGCATTTTTCACGGGGGGCTATAGGGGATATGGGGATCTATAGGGGATATAGGGGGACTATGGGGGTTATCAGGGGGTTATAGGGCATGTGGGCGATTATAGAGGATATGGAGCTATAGGGGATATGGGGGGTTATAGGGGATATGGATGGGCTATAGGGGATATGGATGGGCTATAGGGGATATGGAGATCTATAGGGGATATAGGGATCTATAGGGGATATGGATGGGCTATAGGGGATATGGAGCTATAGGGGATATGG